TCGAGTTGCGGAAAACACCCACCGTGAAGAAGAAGAAGAAGAAGAAGGATGTCAAGGATGTGAAGGATCATTTTCCGGCTAATGGAGTCACTACCTACTGCACTGGAGTGAATCATTTGTTTGGTTCTCTTAATATCGCAGTCAGCAAATTGATGTAAGAAAAAGGAGAATGTTGAGTTGGCAAAGTTGAAAGACGTTGTAACTGCTACCTTACGGTAGCCGTCCAAAGGCACAGTAGTGGAAAAGTAACTATTAAGCTGATTAATATCTAGATTATTATTAGGAATACTGCTACGAGATTTGCCAACTCCGAGTGATTTTAGGAATTTCTAGACTTTTGGGGGATCTTCATTTTCAATAGATTTATGAATATGGCATCTTTGGGCGTCCCTTATCACAGTGTTGCAGCGATTTCTCACTAAATTATAGTTTATCTCATTGCGCTTCGAAGGATTGACTCTGAACTTAGCCTTAGCGGCATGTTTCCTTGCCATCAGTTCCCGAATTTCATCATTCAACCAAGGAGCCGGCAGATGTTTTATTTTAACAGGGCGAATAGGTGCATGCATATCATACAGCTCGGTAAGTAAGGAGTTAAAAAGTTCAATTTGCCTATCCACAGAATCAGATGCAAAAACTGCAGACCAGTCCAAGTTGGCAGCATTCTCCATCAGGTGTTCGTGATTAATCCGAGCAAAATTACGCTGAAAATACACAGTGGGCCTCATTTTTGGAGGACGAATCCGGTACGATAGGTACACCAAGTCATGATAAGAAAAAGCGTCCGCAGAATATTGCCCATGTTTAGCGGCGAAGGTAGGGGAAAAGACGATTATCAGATCAAGCAGGGAAGGAGTACACTTAGGAAAATGGTGAGTTTCCCTAGACGGAAGAATATGTAAATTGGAGGAATTAATAACCGACAGTAATTTTTTTGATCGATAATCTTTTATGAGACATGTGTTGAAATCTCCCATAATTATAGTATGGGAATAAGAGGGGACAAAATTTTCCAGAAGCTGTTCGAATGACTCAAAATAGTCGACTCGCAGAGAAGGGCTGTAGAAAACACCCAGAAGGATTTTACTATGAGACAAAGATATTTCAAGTAAGAGATACTCGGCACTGTTCGGGGGTGGTAGCTGTGGAGATCAACTAAGGATAGTAAAAGAGATATGAGAACGAAGATAAATGGCCACCCCTCCATGAGAGGAACTTACACGATCATTCCGAATCAGTTGGAATCCAGGTAACGAATATGTAGAAGACGAAAGACAGAGATTAAGAAAATTTTCAGAAACTAAGATTGCATGAATAGTTTGGTTATCAAAAGAAGCAAGCATATCCGGAAAGTGTGCCGGTATACTCTGTGCATTGATATGGATAACGTTAAAATTTTTTGGAACATCCGAAAAAGCGGCATCCAAAAGCTCGTTCAGAGAACTATCTAAGCTCTGGAAGCTGGAGTTGGAAGCAGAAGAGGAAGAACATGACATGAAGAAATCGTTATCTATAGATATATCCATCAAAATACAATAAAAATAAATAAATAATTAACTATAATCTACAAGCTAAAGTAATAATAATAAAATATAAGTTTTACTATACTACATATATAAATACCTACAGGTTGACTGAAAGAAATTAACAAAATTTATTAATTACTACATACACAAGAAACAAAAAGGACACATTACACAATAAAGTACAAATAACAGTGTTTTGTCACGGCGACGCGTACAAGTCTGTGGACCTGTTACAGTACTCGTACGTGACGAACGTTAAATTAGCAAACCTCTGAATAGCAAACAGATATAAACAATGACATGACATTGACACATGAGACATTTAACAAAATTATAATAGTAATATTATAATTATAATAACGACATAAATAATTATAATAATAATATTGTAATGAAGTGAATCGTTGAGAAGAATGGTACGCAACAAATTTACAAAAATTGAGAAATATGAAGAAAAGTAAGTATTCTATAGCTATATTCAAACCCACCAAAAAAAGTTCAAGCTACAAGCATCACAAACTGCATGGATTATCAGTTGATATTTTCTATTATCCTTATGAAATGTATAATTTATGTACGAATATTTTTTTATTTAGTCACTATTAAGTCAAATTGGTTATTATGAACAAAAGACTACATGTATCAATAGTATAAAAAACGGTGAAATCTTTTCATGCTGCTAAGACTTTTCCGGTGAACATAAACAGATAAAGTACCCACTTAACACATAATAAAAGAGACATCAAATAATTACTTATTTTCTCCTTGCAGAAACAGCACGCTTGCCTCTAGAGACTGCGGCTGCAGCTACCGGAGCCACAGCATCACTCGCATTTGGAGCTGCAACAACACTCAAGGCAGAAACTTGGGCATCACTTGCAACGGCAATGGAAGTAGGTTTGGGCCGATCCAACTTTTCAACATCAATCATGGATACGATGTGATAGCGCTTACCAGCAGCATCTAAAGCGATGATTCGCTATGATAGCATTAGCGATGATAGCATCTGGAGACACCGAGTCGTTCCCGCGCACCCATGAAGATCCATGAAGATTTTGTGTCGCAGTTTTGTTAGGAATTCCGACATAGTGATGCTAGAACTCTTCAGCTTCTTCTTCGCTAGCCATAAGTTGTCCCAGATTGCCTCAGATCGAAGCTTTACGAGAAGTGGTCGTGGCTTCTCCTGTTGAACTCGACCAAGACGGATGGCTCGTACTAAATCGTCTGCTACAAGTTGCGGTGCCGCCAAATGCTCAGATGCCACCTTCAGAAAAGTCTCCGTGCTGTCTTCCTCTTTGCTCTCCGGGACACCATAAAGCAGCAGCATGCCACGACGACTCTTCATCTCGATGCTGTCACACTCCATTGAAAGCAACGTTACTTGCATCTCAAGGTGCTTGAAAGTTGTAACAACAAAGCTGCGAAAGACATCGAATTCGGCTGACAAATTCAGCAATGATGGCTCCTGCGGTGCATTTGTCTTCTTGAGTTCATTTTCGAACGCAGACATACGTTCTGAGAAAGTTTGTGCCAGTGATTAAATTGTGCTCTTAATAGTATCCATATTAACAGTGTGTTTGTGATGTGTGGAATTCCGTGCAGTGAAGTTCAGTTACCAGACGTATTAGAGAGGAGAAAACAGCTGCAGGGATTATTCACTATTAGCACATACTATTATTCACTAAATTGACTAGAAATAATATGTATTTAATTTTTAAAATAAAATAATTCAAGAGCTTGTCAAAAACAGGTGTTAACGGTTTCATTAGTTACACGAACAAAAGCCAATTGCATTTGAAACTTCTTTTAGCGTTACCGCTTCTTACCTAATACAGAAAGTTTTCAATAGTTAGTCGATTTCCTCGGCACTAGGAAGAAAATAAAATAGATAAATTTATTCATCCCACAGTCTCATAGGTATTCTACGAGAAATCGAATTTAAAACCATTCCACTTTTATAACTACAGTATGATTAAAATTTACAGTATGATAAAACCAACAAGATCGATTCTTCAATAGCATAAAAATTGTTTCTCTCCGCCTTAAATATTTGTTTGCGGCGAATAGGGCCGTGGTAGCATAATGGTCAGTGCATTCGCCCGGATAGCGAAGGGTGCGGGTTCAAGTTCCGTCCGCTGCCTGGTCCGCGTGGATTATTTTCTAGTAAACTTTTATTTAGATTTAAACATCTAGCAGTTAAATGCTTAAAAATAAATAAAAATCAGGTTGATTTTTATATTTTAATTATTATTCATTGATTGGCCCAGTAAATGTTAACTATTTATTTCATCGTACAGAACATTAAATAATCATCACTCAACTTGCCTGTTTATAATATAAATATAGATACACGGTCACCGTTCTTTGAGACCGTTGTATGAGACATTTCGTTTCCATACTCCCGATATAATAAGTTGGTCTCGCTGCTCGTCGGTTTGATATACTCATATATTTTAGAGAATAAGAGACAACATTGACGATGTTATCCCAGATAACTAGGGGATAAAAAAAAATAGGATGGGCGGGATCCTAAATCTCTTCGGCGATAACAGGATAATTCAGATCGAACTTCACTTAGGTAAGTTCGTTTGATCATTCAATTATCCTGTTATCGCCTCCGAGATTTATTTTTCTTTACTATGTATGTAGATGTTCAGAGAGTAAAAGTCAATGTTGTTAAGAAATAAATAGGATATCATCCGATATAAATTTTAATAAATCATGTTCATGATTGTTTTTAGATACTTAGTACCAATATGCGTTAAGCTTTGCTAATTATATTATCAACAAGGTTACTAGATAGATTTGAACATAGCATAGGTTTACATCACGCGTTAACTCGGGCAAAAAAAATTTTGGTCAATGTTGTTAATTATTACGTCATATTTTAATCACTTCAATATTTGGCCTTGAAACGTTGGTCAATGTTGTTAATTTTCACGTCATTTTTAATCGTTTCAATATTTGACATTCATTTAACCACAATAAAGTTCAAGTAATAATAGTCACCAATCCTGATATCTTTCACATTTTATTGTTTCGTAACTACCAATTTGGCTATGTTTAGACATTATTCTGAAAGGAAAAAATTACTGATCTCCATCATATAGAACTGATTTTTATTAGACTGCCTGCGGTCGTGGCGTGCGCGCACAAAGGAATGAGCATCGAACCGACGAGCAGCGGCAGAGGGGCGTGGTGAAGAGAGGGGTTACCTCCGACTTTTTTTACTACGCTCTAAACTGTGTGCGGACTGGCTGGTCGTACAGGATAATATTTAGTTGCAGACTTATCCTGTAATCTGAAGGCTGGCGCACTCGGTTATATTAACACAAAATGAGAAGTCTCGATTCCCAGCTAAAAGCAAATTTTGGACTAAGAAAATCATTTGTTTTCAGAACGAATATATGGTCTAGAGAGAAGTATACTGAACTCTGCCAGTGGTTCGAATGGTTCTTCATACGAAGCACTTACCGTCAGGAACTTCTATTGGTGCTACAGACACTACATTTTGACCTGTCGGCAATTCTCTTGTTGACTTCCGACCTGCAATAAAAATGAAACGAATTTTAATTGTACTTTCCAATTCCCCTGTAGGAATACCGAGGCACGTTCAATTTTGTTGTGATAATTTATTATTAAGAATCGAAGTATTACTGTTGTGATAAGAGTAGATGAGATGTGTTCCATTAAAATCATGTAAATAATATTTATTAAGTACTAGTGGGGGCCCGCGACTTCGGTTGCGTGAATATATTAGTTTTACATACAAACTGACACCTCCACCTGACAATTGTATGACATTGCAAATCAATATATCTCTGTAATGTTTTGATTATGTGAAAAAAGAAAAACAACGTGTCCAATACTTTTTGATAATGTACCTGATAAACGAAGAAAAAGAAGTTAGTCGTCATCCCTAAGTTAGCGCAAGTCGCGGCCGGCGTATTAAACGAAATGTAGAGTGAATTAGGTGTTGTTACAGTGAATCGAAACCTGCGCATAGTTGCGTTCTCTAAAAACTTTAAAACCGCCACAAATTTAGAATCACGGTATTCAGTAATAATTTTATTCAATAATATAAGCACTAGGTACCATGAAATCCTTGTAGAGTTTATCTTAGTTCCATTGCAGCAATTCGCTTATTTTATATTTGATTTAGTTATGGAGTAAAGTATTGCATGCCTAGGTATAGCTTGAAATGAAGTAACGTTGAGTCAATTACACATAAGTATATTTTATACGTGTGAGAACCAAAACAAACTTCGCAACAAACAAACAAAAAGAAAATTTATTAATCCTGTGACGTTTTCGTCAGTGCAGACCAACTTTCAACCGTTACTTAACTATCTTCAAGTATTATTAATAAAAACTAAAGACTAATATTAACTTAAATTATGTCTTTTGTTCTAGGTCCTTTTTACCCGACTGCGCAATGCAAGGGCGCGAAGCGCGACGCGCAGACAGGGTATAGTGTTTAACGGTCTATATATGTATGTTTGTTCCTTTGTGGCACACTAGAGACCAAACGCCTGGACCGATTTTGATGATTCATACATCAATCGATTCGTCTCAATCATGGGAGTGCTACTAAAGATATGATGGCGCCATATTGTGACGAAGTTAAAAAAATAAGTTGACAAAATATGTCGAGTGGGGTATCACTGTCTAGATAATCAAAAATCATGTTGAGGTTCCTAACACCATTTTTCATTTTACATGATTGTTTAGGATCTACAACGCTTTAAAGTTGTATATTAATCACTTGCGCAATTTCAATCTTACGTTTGTATGGATCTTTGTTACTCTTTCACCTAAAAATACTGAATAGATTTTAATGTTTCACCTAAAAATACTGAATTGATAATAAATCAATCTTTTAGACCACCGCAAGGTACTTAATAATTCCCGCGATATTAATTCCTTTACTGAAGTAACAAGAGTACGGTATATACTGTCTTAAAATACTAACTAACTAAAAAGTGTGAAATAAAAAAGATAAATTTAAAAAAAAAATATTATGTATTCTTCAATATCTAATGGGTCCCGGCTGTTAAAGTAGCTTTGTTCCTTATTAACAGAATTATAGACTACTGGACTTGTTTTTTTCTTTTCAGTATTTATTTGAAGTATAATTAAGCAGTCGGGTTTTTTGATTTTTTAAATTTATCTTTTTTTTGTCTCTTGGTAGTTTTTGGGTGTAAAAAAGTTACAGTAACAGACAAGACGCCAGAGTACCTACTTATATTCTTATAAAAATAGACTAAAATAAATAGCATAATATCTTCTTTCTGTAGCCAAAGTACGCACCAAAGCAAGACTCGTGAAGCTTCAATCTTGTACGTATGAAGTAGGTAAATATAATTTTACTTTAAAATATGTTTAGAATGTAAACATCATACATTATTACATCAGCTTCGAAGTAAATTCAAATGAATAGCAAACACCATCCACTTTTCAAAGGTTTATTTTGTATACGTAGCAAAACAGCGTCGGAAAACAGACGGGGGCCATTATCAGCCGCCGTCATTTTGATTTTAACATAGTTTATTTCCGGCACTATGGCGATGGCGGGAGATATGAATACTCGTGGGAAAAATACTGAAAAGGGTTTACTGTATTAATAGCATTAATGTAAACGTGGAATGCACATTAATTGTGTCTGTCATCTCCCCGGTACATTAACTAGGATAGGTTTTTGCGAGAGTGCGCCATTACGCGTAGCGTTGACAGCGCCCCTCCGCGGCGGCGACAGGATTGTTCCATTATCGGCCCGGATGTATGAATAATTGACGCACTTGAATTGTGGATATGCCACGGAAAGACGTTATTGGAAATGGTTCGGAATCTCTTAGAATTTGAAAATGGAACATCAATTAATTACATACCTTTGGTGTTTACATTAATTTGATCAAATTCGAGGGAGAACACTATAGATTTTTCGATTGAATTGGAGCGCACGGTTAGGGATATAATGATGTTGGAAATCGACAAACTTACAGAAGATATAAACCACATAATACTATAATTTAATCTTGTGTTCCTGTAGGTTTCCTTAGCTTCATCGGATGTGGGGTAGACAGAGTAGACTCGCGGGTGATTCATACATGTATTATACACATATATTATGATGGTGAATGCTAAAGGCATGCTCTGCGCTTCAAATCAACCAAAATAATACTTTTGTAAAAAAGCGAATTTGAAGACGGTTAAAAAACATAGCCCTAGTAGCACAAATGGGCAAGTAATTGGCAAAAAATAGGATGTCAAAAACAAATAAATTAAATTTTTACTTACATTTTGATGGTAAATTAAATATTTTATATTACCGTTAATAGACAGAGTAAAAAAAAAGAAAAACGCAAGCAAGAAATTTCGTAGTTCCTGGACAATGGATGCTCACAAGTCCTCGAGCTTCGTTGACATGGGGTCATTGCGAAGGTAAATGTTCCGCTTACTGCCCAACTTCTTCGTAAGTGGATTGAATTTCGACAAAACTCAAAAGTCATGTGCTATGTCCTTTATTTTTCCATGAAATTGAACGTCTTAGTTTCTTGTAACGTTATTCTATAAAAAATAAAAAATAAACTTGATCTTTCTTTTATTTTTTTACGCTTTCAACACTTGTTGAAATCATAGAGGTATAAGAATAGAGTGGGGAAGGCGGCTCTAAAAGTGTCCGTCTAGTTGAAAGAGAAAGAAGATGGGAGACGGCTAGCTTTCTCTTTCTCTTGTGACGCATGGCATCCAATGGCATCACATCGAAATAGTATGATGCTTACGGTTGCTAATGCGCATGCGCGAATAGAGAGAGAAAGCTAGCAGTCTCTCATCTTCTTTCTTTTTCTATGTGAGGGACACTTCCACTTGTAGTAGAGTCTTTATCTCCCCTACTCTATTCTTATACCTCTATGATTGAAATGCCCGATAAAGAAAGTTTGGTTTCAAAAATTTTTAATAAGGAAATCTGGCAGATAACTATTTGAAACTTTATCATTTTTAAAAGATACGAACTTTTACAAATTTAAAAGCAGTGGATGAATTAGTTTGATTTTATTAAAATAACATTAATTTGAAAATTGGTACTCCATTTCAAATGAAATCAATAACAAGTTAAATAAGATATTGGTTATTACTGATATTGATATTGGAATACTACATCAATATTATTACCCGCAGTCTTCAATTAAACATTTTCCATAAAATTCGTCTAGACGTTGTAAAAGTTTATGCCAACTTCACCTCTAAGTTGAATATACGTATTCAAACTTTGTAAATAAATTTTTGTTAATTTTTATCAAATAAATAGAGACTGTAAGCAGCAAAGTGACTCCAAAGTATTTTCAATAGTACCTAATAATTAAAAACCAAAATAATTTTGTATCTTCCATTTAAATTTCAAAACCTCATGAGGGTATCCAATAATAACGGATCTTAGATTATAACAAAAAGGGAAGATACAGCACTCGCGATTCCAAAGTGAACCGCTTACATTGCGGTGCATGAACACAATTCGCTCTGCATCATCCCCCTCTCAGGGGATGATCGCTTCAGATGAAGCTTGTAAGGCCATTACAGTCATAAGCATGAACTACGGGTGAGTTTTTATCAGTATGAGTCTGACATAACCTTGCAGCCGGCTGTAGGTATCCATGAGGTTTTCACACCCGTTTTATTTATTTATTTTATTTCACCCCGCCTGCGAGAAATAAAATAAACATGATTCGCTTTAGTTACAAGTGACATCCAAACACGCTGCGTATGCTCTCTCTCTATATTATTTGTTATAAAGACAAAACAATGCCTTCGATGCTTTTAAAATGAACACAAATAGTTTAAGATCAAATAACCAATTCCACGGCAACACATTTCATTCATAATAAAAATATTTATTTCTCAAAAATCACGTGTTTGTTATGAATGTTATATAGTTATTCGCCATTTATTATCAAGAAAAGGACAACAATATAGCTCAGCCGTTTGTAGAGAGAGAAAAGAAGACGCGGACTCGCCGTTTCGCTCGCGCTGCGTTGAAGCGTACAGTTCTGTCTCGCTCGCTCAATTGAATGTTTATTTACAGAAGTATGCGTCTGTGGGGGTTGCGTATGTATTTGAATCGGAGCATATTTTATTTGATACCAGTATTAGCGTACCGTATCTTCCCCTTTTGTTTTAATCTAAGTAACGGATGTATATTTTTCGTGGTGATACTAAAGAACCTCGATAGACTGCAAAACTCAAGTATCTACTAAAATGACACACACTCTTTAGACAATTAATGGGTACCTTAGGCCTGTGGCGTATGTAAAAGTTTATGAAGCAATAACCATCAATAAGTGAGACCCTGGTGTATTTGACGAGAATCATGGTAACTACTTGCCGAATACGAATCGATCATTCCATACCACAAGTTAATATTAAAGTAGGTAAGACACAATACATCTGAGCCATTAAATATGTCGTCACCTTCACTGGAATTTTATTTTTTCAACCTACGTCTAAACCTGAAAGGATAGTTTAGCAGAACACTGTGAATTTTTCATGTA